AGATGCAAGAGCGTCTCCGTTAGTTAGAAGTGTTTGCAAGCAAACCAGTGACTCTTTCCATCAAAACTACACCGAATGCGTAAAAACTCTTTCGTCAGATGCTCGAATTCAATCGTCAGCATCCAATGATCTCAAAGATCTTACTATAAATGTTCTTGAGATAGCTGCAGAAACTGCTACAGACACCCAAGAGTTGTTTAACAGTTATCTACGCATGACTGAGAGCAGCACCAAAGGTATTCAACAGTGTGCACAATCGTACGGATCAGTGGCATCGGCTTTCCAAGGCACATTAGAGGGAGTTAAGGAGGACCACGATATGGTCAAGTATACGGTGGCACCGATCGCTGATGGCATCGCCGTTTGCGAAAAGGCGTTGAGTTCTGATGGGGTTAAGCTTCCTCGTACAATATCTAGCAGAGTCAATTTGGTGAGCTTGTATAAGGACATTGGATTCACCCTCACTTCCCAGTTAGCAAGCATCGGGCTGAAGGGTCAAAAGCATTGAACCCTACACGTTATGGTAGAGTTGAGATAGAAGAGTGAGATAAAAGAATGTACAGGGAATGTATTTACGATTATTAAAGAACAAACTGAATAAACATAAATTATGTGTCCAAGTATGATCAAAGAAAGAAACTTATATTAGTCTGGATCAAGGAATAAGTTCTTCCTTCCGGACATGTTCTCCTTTTAGGGCATGTTTCAACTGATATTACTTACTACGACATGTTCTTCATTCCGGAGGAGTGATTAGCATAGTGTCGAGATGAGATGAGATAGTGAAATTGTTGTATACCTCTTTTTGTCAAGAAATTGTTATATACTTGAATAACAAATTAAAAATAATAAACAAATAACTATTTTTTTTTTTTTTTTTTTTGCCAACAAATAACTATTTGTTGATGTGATACATATAGTACAGTACACATATTAAAATGTGCGATGATGATCCTAACATACTTTAGAAATTATAAAACATAATAATATTTTTATTTTTGTTTGTTATCAAATACTTATTAAATATAATAATAATAATACTTTGACACATAATTTAAAAATATGAAAAGTGGTTTACTTGAAGTTTGAATCTAAGACCACAAATCATTTTTTATTGGACAAGACGTCATTGGCGGTTATGACGTCATTTAAAGGTACTTTTGTTTCTCTTTAAATATGTTAATGAACTTGGATTTTTCTAACCATAATATTCCCAAGTTAGAGCATGTCTAATGCAAGGTGAAGGGGCAACGGCGTTGTTTTAGCCCCTCAAAATGGTACTATTCGCAAAATCTAGCCTCTCAAAATTTTGAGGTTCTAGTGATGATGAGGATTTAGGGGCTAACACTCACAACTTGTTATTTAAGTTTATTTTATTACTATTTTATTTGTGACAAAAAAACAATTAAAGCATAAGAAAAGCGACGCAAAAGTTTATTTTTGGAAACAATTTTGAGGGGCTTGGATTATATAAAAAAAAGCAACACAAAAAGAATAAACAAGTAAAAAGGGTTTGGAGTAATTAAAAAAAAAGGCCTCAACTAATCGTTGAAAACTGAAAAAAAAAAAAACTAAAAAACTAAAAAGCCCAACAACTAGCCGTTGAAAACTGGAAATAAAATAAAATAAAAAACTAAACAGCCCAACAACTAGCCGTTAGGCAATTGTTATTGAAGTCGCCACGTGGCAGATCCTCATAGGCTAAAGCAATTGGAAAAGCAGCTTTTGCTGCACCACATTTTTTTGCTTTTCAAAACTGACCGTAGGCTCACTCTTAACCTAGACCAGCCGCCAGCCCTTGGGCAAAAGCAGCTCCTTATCAGTAGAAGAGGACCTGAGGCGGTGCACACTCCCAACAAGTAGAAATCTCAAAAAGCGTGTTTGAATGAAGGCTAGTTTTGCACATTTTCTTACTCAGTGCTATTATTCGAGAGATGCTGAAGATGATGATGCGGAATATAGCTGCTGCTGCTTCTTCTTCTTATTGCAGCAGCAGGAGATGGAGAGGTATGCCTTGTCTTCACTCTAACTCCACTCTTGTTGTTTTCACCAGCAATTACTTTGCTTTCTTTTACTCTCAACCTTCGAAACCAATCAAATCTACAAGAACCCAACTAGACCAAGCAGTGAGAAACGCACCCACAATCACAACTGTTGAGGATGCTTTCAATGTGTTTGATAGAATGCTTCAAATGCGTCCTCCGCTTTCAGTTGTTCGTTTCAGTCAAATATTGGGTCAAGTTGCGAAATTGAAACATTATTCGGCCGTCATCTCCTTGTATAACCAAATGGATGTGTCGGGAATTGGACCTGATGTTTATACTCTAACCGTTCTCATTAATTGTTATTGTCATTTGGACGTTTATCTGTATTGGGAAAATTCTTCAAACTTGGTCTTGAACCAAATGTCTTTACCTTCACCACTCTAATCAACGGCTTTCTTCTCGAGAATAGAGTGGCGGAGGCGGCAGGAATTTTCAACAAAATGATTGTGGGAGGTAATTGTCAGCCCGATGTGGTTACTTTTGGCACAATAATAAGGGGCTTTTGCATGAAAGGTAACAATAGTGCTGCTATTCAGTTGCTTAGGAAGATGAAGGAAGGAGCTTGCAAGCCTAACCTAGTTGTCTATAGCACAATCATCGACAGTCTTTGTAAGGATACACTAGTTGATGACGCATTGAACCTCTTCTCAAAAATGATGAGCAAGGGTATTGCCCCAAATGTCATTACCTATACATCCTTGATTCATGGAGTTTGCAAATTAGGCGAGTGGAAAGAAGCTACAAGGTTGTTGAATGAAATGGTGAGTAAAAATATCTTTCCAAATGTGTTAACGTTCAGCGTCTTGGTAGACACACTTTGTAAGGAGGGGATGGTTGTGGAAGCAGAAGGCGTGGTTGAGATGATGATTCAAAGAGGTTGTTCACGTTCAGCCTCTTGGTAGACACAATTTGTAAGGAGGGGATGGTCTTGGAAGCAGAAGGTGTGGTAGAAATGATGATTCAAAGAGGTATTGAACCTGATACGGTTACATACACTTCACTCATGGATGGTTACTGTTTGCGAGGACAAATAGGAAAGGCACAAAAAGTTTTTGATGATTCAAAGAGGTATTGAACCTGATACGGTTACGTACACTTCACTCATGGATGGTTACTGTTTGCGAGGACAAATAGGAAAGGCACAAAAAGTTTTTGAACTAATGCTTAGCAAGGGCACGGTGGTTAATGTTGTTAGTTACAACACATTGATAAATGGATATTGTAAGAATAAAAAGATTGATGAGGCCATGATGCTTTTTTCTGGATATGTCTCATAAGGGATCAGTTCCAAATACCATTATTTATAACACTCTTCTGTACGGCTTTTGCAAAACGGGCAGAATACAGGACGCACAAAAGTTGTTCTCTAAAATGCAAGCTTGTGGCCAACTTCCAGATGTTCAAACTTATGCTGTTCTACTGGATGGCATGTGTAAAAACCGACAACTTTCTAGGGCAATGCAATTGTTTGGAGAGATGGAAGCGAAGAAGTTGGATATTGATATTGTGATTTACCGTATTCTTATTGAAGGTTTGTGCATAGCTGGAAAAATTGAATCTGCAAGGGATCTCTTTTTTGGTTTATCATCAAAAAGACTTCAACCTGGTGTCTGGACATACAATATAATGATTAATGGACTCTGTATCGGGGGCCTAACAAGTGAAGTGGAAAAGTTGCTGGTTGAAATGGAAGGGAAAGGCTGTTCTCCAGATGGTTGCACATATAACACAATTATCAGAGGGCTTATCAGTAACAAAGAGACATCGAGGGCGATGGTACTTATTCAACAAATGGTGGAGAAGGGTTTCTCTGCAGATGCATCAACAACGGAGTTGATAGTTCAATTACTGTCGAAAGATGAAGTGGATCCTGCTTTGTTGCCGTTGATAAAAGAATCACTGTGAAATTAATTTGCATCTGTGGACAATGAACTGGTGCATCTTTGACGACCACAAAGGTATTACAGTGATCGTGGGTATGGCAGGAGGTGAAAATGCCTTCTCACTTGTATCCGGAATTTCTGGTATTAATTCTGTTTCATGGAATTTCTGTTTTATTTTGTATGGGACGATAGGAGAACCTCTGTTTCAACAAAAGATCCCACACAAACCCCTGTCCACTGGTGCAAGAGCACGGTGGACAGATTTTATCTTTGCATGAAGTTTCTCCTAAAACTTATTGCTTAGAAATTGCAGACAGATTTTATGTACTGGAAACATTGTTTGATGGGTGATAAATCTAAATGCTGTTGCTATTGTTTATGTACTGGAAATATTTTTCTTTTTGGTTACAAGACTTTGTTGGATGACTGAGTGTTACTTTGAGACAGTATTTTTAGTTAATGTTGTTATTGTTATGTTGGCTGTTCGAAATGTATTTGGATTAGCAATCTACTTGCTTAAGTTATCACTGAAGTCTGTTGCCTTAAATTGGTACATGCGTTATGTAACTTTCACATGAAAAGGCTGCTCTTTAATATGTACATACTCTCCAATATCCAATTAATAGGAGCCCATTTGCTCCCCAACCAAAAGCTGGTTGTTATTTCATACTGAAGTGCTTGACAGGGAAGTAAGGGTTGTCTATTTCAGGTGAAAGAACAGATGAGATCCGCATGGTTCTGAATGATTGAGATAGTTGTTTTGGATTGTTCATCTCACATAATTTTTCCCATCATTGTCCTATAAAATTTTGAATCGTCCATCTCAGATAGTGATAATTCAATAATTTGAATTTAAAACAAAACTTGAGATTGAAATGTCACTCGTTAAAGTTACTGATTTCAAGCCAGCATATTGTGATGCTAGCAAAATATCGTTGCATGAGAGAGAGAGAGAATCACTTCCTAATTTTCCTCGAAAAAAGATAATAAAAGGTACAAAGGCGGGTGAGTTCGAAACTCCATGTCGACACGTGAGAAATTGTATTTACAGAATACGTGGCTGCAATAATATTCTAATGGCTAGGATTAGATTAGGTATAATGGTGTGAGTGTGTGCACAGAGGAGGAGGATTGGATTGATAAAAATTCATTTCAATAACAAATCAATTGTTTGTTTCGAGACTTTTGCGTTATTTTTTTCTTTTTCTTTCCTAATGTACAAAGTAGAATAGGACCTGAGGCCGTGCATACTCCAACAAGCAGAAATCTCAAAAAGCGTGTTTGAATGAAGGCTAGTTTTGCACATTTTATTCGAGAGATGCTGAAGATGATGATGCGGAATATAGCTGCTGCTTCTTCTTCTTATTGCAGCAGCAGGAGATGGAGAGGTATGCCTTGTCTTCACTCTAACTCCACTCTTGTTGTTTTCACCAGCAATTACTTTGCTTTCTTTCATTCTCAACCTTCGAAACCAATCAAATCTACAAGAACCCAACTAGACCAGGCAGTGAGAAACGCACCCACAATCACAACTGTTGAGGATGCTTTCAATGTGTTTGATAGAATGCTTCAAATGCATCCTCCGCCTTCAGTTGTTCGTTTCAATCAAATATTGGGTCAAGTTGCGAAATTGAAACATTATTCTGCCGTCATCTCCTTTTATAACCAAATGGATGTGTCGGGAATTGGACCTGATGTTTACGCTCTAACCATTCTCATTAATTGTTATTGTCATTTGGACCAAATGGGTTTTAGTTTATCTGTCTTAGGAAAAATTTTCAAAGTTGGTCTTGAACCAAATGTCACTACTTTCAACACTTTAATCAGCGGCTATCTTCTCAAGAATAGAGTGGCAGAGGCGGCAGGAATTTTCAACAAAATGATTGTGGGAGGTAATTGTCAGCCCGATGTGGTTACTTTTGGCACAATAATAAGGGGCTTTTGCATGAAAGGTAACAATAGTGCTGCTATTCAGTTGCTTAGGAAGATGGAGGAAGTAGCTTGCAAGCCTAACCTAGTTGTCTATAGCACAATCATCGTTAGTCTTTGTAAGGATACACTAGTTGATGATGCATTGAACCTCTTCTCAGAAATGATGAGCAAGGGTATTTCCCCAAATGTCATTACCTATAACTCTTTGATGAATGGAGTTTGCAAATTAGGCGAATGGAAAGAAGCTGCAAGGTTGTTGAATGAAATGGTGAGTAAAAATATCTTTCCTAATGTGTTAACGTTCAACGTCTTGGTAGACGCACTTTGTAAGGAGGGAATGGCCGTGGAAGCAGAAGGCGTGGTTGAGATGATGATTCAAAGAGGTATTGAACCTGACACGGTTACGTACAATTCACTAATGGATGGTTACTGTTTGCAAGGAAGAATGGACAAAGCGAAAAAGGTTTTTGAACTAATGCTTAGCAAGGGCTTGATGGTTGATGTTGTTAGCTACAGCACATTGATAAATGGATATTGTAAGCAAAAAAAGATTGATAATGCCATGATTCTTTTTCTGGATATGTCTCATAAGGGACTAGTTGCAAATACCGTTACCTATAACACTCTTCTGGATGGTTTTGGCAAAGCAGGTAGAATACAGGATGCACAAAAGTTGTTCTCTGAGATGCAAGCTTGTGGCCAGCTTCCAAATGCTCGAACTTATTCTATTTTACTGGATGGCCTGTGTAAAAACCGACAACTTTGTAGGGCAATGCAATTGTTTTGTGAAATGGAAGCGAAGAAGTTAGATATTGATATTGTGATTTACAATATTCTTCTTGAAGGTTTGTTTATAACTGGAAAAATTGAATCTGCAAGGGATCTCTTTTGTGGTTTATCATCAAAAGGACTTCGACCTAATGTGAGGACATACACTATAATGATTAATGGACTCTGTATCAGAGGCCTAACAAGTGAAGCAGAAAATTTGCTGGTTGAAATGGAAGGGAAAGGCTGTTCTCCAGATGGTTGCGCATATAACACAATTATCAGAGGGCTTATCAGTAACAAAGAGACATCAAGGGCGATGGTACTGATTCAACAAATGGTGGAGAAGGGTTTCTCTGCAGATGCATCAACAACGGAGTTGATAGTTCAATTACTGTCGAAAGATGAAGTGGATCCTGCTTTGTTGCCGTTGATAAAAGAATCACTATGAAATTAATTTGCATCTGTGGACAATGAACTGGTGCATCTTTGACGACCATAAAGGTATTACAGTGGTCGTGGGTATGGCAGGAGATGAAAATGCCTTCTCACTTGTATCCGGAAGTTCTGGTATTATTTCTGTTTCATGGAATTTCTGTTTTATTTTGTATGGGAAGATAGGAGAACCTCTGTTTCAACAAAAGATCCCATACAAACCTGATGCAAGAGCACAATTGTCATCAGCTCTCCATGTCCAACCAAAATATAGAAACTTTGCAAGAAAGATCCACATAACTGAGAAATAAATGACATAGAGCAAAAGAAGAAACATGATCTGTCTAGTTATGTATTCATATGCTCAGCATTATCTTGTAGAATTTTCGTTCTTGCACATTACTTTTTCTCTAACGTCTCTCCTACAAAAACTATCAATTCCCTATAAATCTATATATTGCAATGACATGCATCCGGGCAATTCAATAATGAGGGGGAAGTGAGGGGGATAGACACCACTAACACTGACACTGAGACTGGAGGTGTAAGCTCGTCCTCATTCACTCATCTGATCCCATATCTTGTTTTCCAAAATTATATTTTCAACTGTGTTTGTGATTTTTGTTTTTCCAATGATTGTTTAGTTTTCTCTCTGTTACGTTATGTTTTACGATTTAAATATTCAGTTGTGTGTTGGCTGGATTTTCTTTACATTTGTTTCTTTAACTTTTGTTTCTTTAACTTTTGTAATTTTTCCCATCATTGTGCTATAAAATTTTGAATCGTCCATCTAAAATAGTGATAATTCGAGTTTTAAACAAAACTTGAGATCGAAATGTCACACCCCTTAAAGTTAGTGATGTCAAGCCAGCGTAATGTGATGCATTTTCGAATATTATATACTCATCTCCATATCCACGTGTATACCGTTGCATGACATAAAAGAGAGAGAGAGACACACACACACACATATACACACACGACTCACGAGACAATCAGTCCCTAATTTTCTTCGAAAAAGGATAATGAAATGGACAAAGGCGGGAGAGTTCGAAGCTCCACGTCTACATGTGACATTTCTTATCTACAACTGGAGAAATTATAGATGTTTTTATTCGTATTATAAATTAAAAAAAATTATTACAATTACCCGATCATACATTAGTTTTTATCAACCAAAAAAACAAGAAGATATGCTACTTCTCCTTTTGATTTCATTTCAAACACAATTTTATTTAATAATGTGATTAGGTATAATGGTGAGTGTGTGAACAGAGGAGGAGCAGCCCTAAAGGTCCATAGATGTAAGGCCAAAGTGTTCCCTACTTTATCAATCTATGTCACACAAAGAAAAAAGGGAAAAAAGAAAGAGTCACAGTCGAAGAATCATTGACTAAATAACTAATTCAATAGAACATATTGGTGTTTGTTGGCCTTTTTTTTTAATCTTCTTCTCTCAGCAGCATTAGTTTGCTTTTCTTTTGAAGGTAAACACCAAAATAGAGACATCGTTGATGATATAACAAAATCCCATTGATTTCCCTAATCAAATTCAAATCAAATTAGTTGTATTAATGGAGCATTTCTTCAAATCACCATCTTGCTTTTGCTTGGTGGGTAAGGAACTTAATTTTCTTAGGCCAAGGAGAAGCTGCATCGGCATCTAGAAAAATCGATCCTAAATTCCTAATTATACACCTCCAGCTATAGGCTTGCACAGTAGCCCAACACGTGGCAAAAACCCATTGTTTGTAATGATAGAACCAAATCAAAGATTCTAAGAAGGTAGAAAGATGGATCAAGTCAAGTCTCAAGTACATCATTTTTGAGATGGGACCTTCCATTCAACTCATTATTAAATTTGATTGCATTAGAGTCCAAGTAGTAGGAACAATATTGGAGGACCACATTCTCTCTTCACATCAAATAGTCTCCAATTCAAAGAGATGGTGTGGGTCTTAATGGGACCTTTCCTCAGCCTCAAACAATAATAGTATAGGCTACATATTAAACCATTCATCAACAGTAATGATATGGAAAACTTTCGAAAACTAGACAAGTTTTGGATATGTTACAAACTTTTAGTCCAATTTTTTCTATACATTAACAACTTTAATCACTTGAGTGGGATTCGAGCACTGTTTGAAATGTCTCGAAGGGGATTTGAGCCTTGTTCGAGGGGAGGACTCACTCGAGGGGTTCTCAAGTGGCTATATTTTTTATATCTTGAAAAAGAATCCTATTTTTCCAAATTCACCTATCTTGCAAATGTAGAATTATTACAATTACCCATTCATACAGTAGTTGTTATAAACGAAACAAAAGGATCAGGTAGTTCTCCTTTTGATTTCATATTGCTTTCATTTCGGACAGAAGTTGAATTAATGGACTAAATTTTGCAGGGAGCAGTAAAGTTGATTAAATAATGTAACTAGGCTGAAAGGCTACCCTTTTGGAATTTGGATGGCAATGTGCAGTGTGAAAAGAGAAGGAGAAACCCAAATGGTACCTAAACGTAGGGCTGTTGCGTCGATTCAGCTGCACCAAAATGGATTCAGCTGCATCCTCAACTTGTGATACTCACAAGTGCATGAGCCGTTTGGTAATATAGCATATGTAAGTGCGAGGTCGATCCCACGAGGATTGGTGATTGAATGATCCAATTCATTTCCCCTACACAAAACAGAAATGAAAAAGAAAATAAATAAAACAAGAAAAAAAGGAAATAACTCAAGCAAATAAGTTCCCAAGTTCAATTAGATTAACGGATTGATTCTAGCTAAAGTATGATTAAGCCATGGTGTTTGGTCATAACCTTGTGTTCCTAATTCCCTAATTTGATCATTTGTTGTCTAACCTAAAATTAAGCATTAGGAACCCATTAAGCATAGAAGAACAATTTAAACAACCAAGCATGTATCTAATCCCTGTTGTCGAATGTCCATACATACTCTTCCTATTCATAGTTCAATTCGAATTAAAGCATGGTGTATACTCTTAATTCAAACCAAGATAGCTAACATGCAAGCCTAAATGGTGATCAACCATTCAAACTAGCATATTAACTTATAAGCATAATAAATAAGAACAAAAACCATAATTGAAACTTGGAAACTAATCAAACTTGAAAAACTAAAGAAAAGAATTTACATAATTGACAACTTGAAAGGAAACTAAGAGAATTTGAGGGAGAGAAGGGAAGGGAGCTCTAGAGAAGTGTTTGAGAGCTCCCCCCTTTGGGTGTGATTTATGAAGCTTGAAAACTTCTCTATTTATAGGGCTAAGAGGGAGGAACAACATGATGAATTCCAACACCACCATTCCTCTTTTAATACAACCCATAACTCCTACTTCATCTTGTCTATGTTAGTGTGGTTGGAATCAACTCCATCCCATACTTCTTTTGCTGCACCTAAAGCTTTCTTCACATGGGACTTCAAAGGTGATCAATTTGTGGCTGCCTTTTGCTGCCAACCCATGTGGGTTTTCTTCACCTTTGCTGGAAAAAACGATTCTTTTGAACCAGGCTTGGTGTAGGAGGGCCTGAGGTTTCAATATGTATCCAATGTGGCTCAAATTTGGATATGTCATAATAGACACCCATTGGAACAACTTGTATGAAGAAAGTATTCCTATTTGAGCAGTACAAGTGTACGTTTTGGGCCTTGCAAGTTGACTTCCGAAAATAGACTGGAATGTATGGTGTGCATTTTGATGGGCCCACGGATTGGGCTTGGCTTCATCAATTGATACGTTTTAGCAGTCCATCCTGCAGTTCAAAATCTCTTCTTTCCAACCACATATTAATTGGGCCAATACAAGTTGGGAGGAGGAAGTTAAGGCCGAAACAAATTGCTAACTCAGTCTGCGCGTTTTTGCACCATTTTGCATATTTTCCTATCCAAAGCCACCATTGCTACCTAAGGCCCAATGAACTGAATGATAAACAGAAAAGGGATTAAAAGCACAAGTTTAACTCAATAACATAATCAAATCATAAGTTAGAATGGTACAAAATGATATATAAATATGCACCGATCAAGGCCCAATGTGTTCCCTACTCTTCAATTTATGTCGCAAAGAAACGAAAAAGAATCACAGTCTGAAAAATTATTGACAACGAATTGAATAAAATTTCTTGGTCGTAATCTTTGCCCAAAAAAGACAATCTTTTAATATAATATTTTGAAACTATCTATCCAATAAAACCAAAAGTTTGGGCTACAAATGGTGTTTGTTGGCCATCTTTTTTTAGCAAAGTTTGCTTTTCTTTTTCAAGGAATTTAAATGCAATGTATCTGAAGATTCCGAATTTTTTTAATTTTTGAAATATATTGGGTTTCAATCTTAGTCTACACATAATGACTAATTTCATGTTGAATTGAATACAACTTAATGAGCAAATAAACATAAAAGACTTATTCAATAATGGATAACAACCTCTATGTAATAGCATATAATAGTTTTTCGAGTTTTGTCATATGATTGTTTAATTGAGCCAATTTTAACCTTTCAAATCGATGGATATGTTTAAAATTTTCGACTATTTTCTAAAAAAATTCCAAAAATTTTCAAAAATTCCGAATCAAAGTAGATGATCAAATTATGATTTTTATAAATGAAATTGAAAACGAATTTTCATTCCAAAATTTAATTTATTTACCAATGATGGGTTTGAACAACAGGTGACAAACAATTACAAAAATTAGAAAAATGAGATACATTTTGAATTCTAAAATCATGAAAATGACTTGAGGTGGCCTCTCCTTGAACGGATCTCGCCTATTGTGCGATTTCCTGGTTTGATACGTTTGAACCGTTGGATCGTAGTCAATTTAAAATATGTGGATTTAGGTAATTCCAGGATTGTATAGGATTCGACAAATCGTGAATCGGAGTCTCGGATACTCCGAAAATGCCAACCTTAGGGCTAAGGTTACAAGAACCATCCGATCGTGCGATCGTGATTAATCTGACCGTCCGATCGAGACTAAACTCTCGGGACATGTGTCCTAGGCATATTGGAACCTCTAGGAACTTCCGAATTGAAATTTGAGGTCGTGGACCCCACGGGGTCCCGAGTTGACTTTTTGGTACTTTATCACTTTTTGAGCCCCAAGGCACCTCCAGACCGTTCTAAACCTTGAAAAAAGCTATTGTGGGCATCGAAATGACTTTAAGTTAGTGCACATACTTCTAGGAACTCAGGGCCAGGGTTGCGGATAAAATAATGATGATGAGCTCTACTATTGTGTATGAGTTTTTAGGAAGCTCATGTACGTGCGAGTGTTCATTGGGTCAATTATGGCATTAATTTCATGAATATATACAATCTCGGGATAAGCATGCATAATTGGAAGCATATTATACTATGCGAGGGTATATCTAAGGATTATTTCAGTGTTTGAGAATTA